AGCGTTATAAACAAGAGTTTGTACCTTCAGCTCAGATGTCACAGAGCCCAAGACGAAATGCATCATGCATTCATGTGAAACCTGGAGGGGCTCCAGAAAAGGGACTTGCTTGAATTGACTGTTGGGATTTTGGGGAACCTCTTCAGTGCCGGCTGTTTTGGGCAACTTGCTTGCCTGCTGACAGACACGTCCGCCACTTTCTCGGTGGGTGGAGAAAGGCCCAGCGGAAACTGGGGGGGGGGAAAGGCCGTGTTTAGCTTGTCCTTTTCTATCGGCTCAGTCTTGAGGATTGGTAAGTCCAGTACGGACAGTTACAGATCCTTCGGTAATGAATTTGCAGCGATTGTTCCTGGCCCTTTTCAGAATAAGTGATTCACTTGCAGGCCAGGATCAGTTGATCCGTTGATGCACATTGCATCAGTCTCTCTTGCGGTTCTTCGGCTGATGCCGGAGTCATCCCAGGGGCTTCTGCCTGGGGGAGAGAAGCAGGGCAGAAGCCCCTGCGGCCACTTGGCAATGCCACCAGGCCCTGCTGCTCTCCCTGCCGAGTGCCCTGGAGATGGGTCAGCCGTGCCAGCACCGTGTGCTGCGGAGGCCACGTGGCCAAAGAAACCCTGCGTAGCTGGTTCATTATGATCCATCACAGAAATGTGGTGTTTCGCGTTAGTAAGCAAAATGCTTTTTTTTTTTTTTTTTTTTTAGTAATCATTTATAACCTTATAACTTTGCACACTTGTAAATTACAAGAGTCGTAGTTTTTAATGAAATGCTTTCTGAGCTGAGACCGCTTTGGTGACGGTTGGTCTCGCTTTATTCTGCCCTAGGCAGAGTTGCAGGCAAGTGGAAAAAAAAATAAACCAACCTTGAACCTTGCAATGGCTGCGCTCTCTTTTCTCCAACCCTAAAAGCCTCTTTCCAAAACAACATTTTGAGTGTTTAAAATAAAAGCTTTGGCTGCTAAAACTGCCCTTGGCTCTTGTCCTTGAGCTGCTACAGACCACCTCAAAGCCGAATGGCGGGGCACCGTCTCCTGCAGGTGCTGAGGGCCCTCTGCCCTGCCCCAGAGGCCTCGGAAGGCGGACACGGGATGCCAGGAAGGCCCAGGGACGGTTCTCCCCTCCAGGATAGCTGAGCTGGGGTCAAACCCCCGAGGGGCCCTGCGTCTGGAGGAGGGAGCTGGGAAGAGCTGCTTTACGACCTGAAGCTTTGAAACGCGGGAACAAGCAAGCCAGCTTGTGCTAGCTAGACGAACTGCAAAGCAATTCACACGTGACTTGGCCAGGAGGAAGATGCTTGAGAGCGGCGGTGCAGGCAATTGAGCGGCTCCCGTGGGGGTTGCGCAAGAGGTGGGGGGGGACAGAGGCCGGCGGGGGGGGGTGTCGAGGGCCTGGGTCTCCCGAGAGAAGAGGCTGGACCGACGACCACCCGCCTGCAGCGGCCGGAGGGCTTCGGACGGAGGGAGCGGAGTTCTAGGGACCCGGCGGGGCTCTGAGCCGCCAGCTGGCAAGACAGTGGCGGGGCCTCCGGCTTCCTTCGGTGCTGAATTCCGGGGCGGCGCCTGCCGAGCGGCCCTCCGACGGCCAGGCCGGGGCCGGGTTCGCACGTGACAGCGCCCACGGCCGGGGCTTTCCCCCCCCCCCCCCAGCGCGGGGCTCCTGCCAGGGGCTTTCCCCGAGCGCCAGGCGCTTCCTGCCGGCGGGGGCGGCCTGGCGCAGCGGCTGGGGGGCGGGGAGGGGGGCTCTAAGTGGGGAGGGGCTTCCAGCCCAGCCAGGGGCTCCTGCTCTGCTTAGCCCAGGGGTAGGCAACCTCGGCTCTTTTAGGACTCGTGGACTTCAACTCCCAGAATTCCTGAGCCAGCCATGCTGAGGGGAAAGGGAGAGGTTTCCATGCTGAGCCATGCTGGCTCAGGAATTCTGGGAGTTGAAGTCCACGAGTCATGAAGGGGCCATAGTTCTCCCATGCTGGCTCAGGAATTCTGGGAGTTGAAGTCCACCAGTCATAAAAGAGCCAAGGTTGCCTACCCCTGGCTTAGCCAGAAGGCCAGAAAGACCCACGGCCGGGGGGGGGGGGATGGAGGCAACTGTTGGCTCCTTTCCTGGCAGTTCATGGGGGGGGGGGGCTCTCCAGAAGCCCCTTTCTGGCTCCCCAAATATCCAGCCAGGGGGTGACCCTGATTCGAGGACTTTCCTGTCACATCCAGAAACAGGCTTGAGTGTGGGAGTGCCTGACCGTAGGGCAGACATCCCCCTCAGCACTTTTTATCTTTGGGCCCTTTGAAGGCAGGCGGCCCCCTCGGGCCGGAGTTTTGACGGCCTCCGGCCCTGGCCAGGGAGCCCAAACAGCAATGCAAGACGGAGGTCAGAAGGGGTGAACTTCCTTCCTCTCCCGGGCCAGCTGACTCCAGGACAAAACTTGGAAAGTCCCCACCTCTGGACCCAGACTTGACACGCAGGACTCTCCGGAAATGGTGAAGCAACTTCTTAGGCCAAAGGGAAACCCTTGGAATCCATTCCGCAAGGAAAAGGCCAGCAGTTGCATCTGAGCGGTATTCACCTCGGAAGGAAGGAAGGAAGGAAGGAAGGAAGGAAGGAAGGAAGGAAGGAAGGAAGGAAGGAAGGAACAGGGCACTGCACAAGAATGGGGCAGGGCTAGCAAGTATCACGCAAGCACTAACCCTGCCCCATTTGCATCACGCGCATGCTTGCGGCCCCGTGCGTAAATGCTTCCCTCTCCTTTTCACTCCAGTCCACCAACCAAGAAAGGTTGGTGACCTCGGATGTAGACAAAGGGCTAAAAGTGGAACTCATCAAATTTGCAGACATCAAGATGCTGGGAAATTGCCAACACTTTTAAGAAATAAGCTCAGGATCCAGAAGGATCTTGACAGATTTGAACACTAGGCCCTGCCCAACAAATGCTATTCAGTGGTGAAAAACATAAGGTCTTATACTTAGGCAAGAAAAACCAAATGCACAGGTATAGAATAGGTGGCACCTGGCTCAACAGCAGAGGGTTCTAGCTGTCCTAGTAGCGAACCTAGAATTGAAGAAATTTCCTGATAGTGAGAACAATTAATTGAGGGAGGCCAAGGGAAGTTCATCTGTATCTTTCTGTATTGCAAGCCAAGCCATTGTGGTTTGTTATCCCATTATCCTTTATAATTCAGGGCAACAAAGATACCTGATATTCCTTCCTCCTATTTTCCCTGCAACAACCCTGTGAGGTGGGTTGGGCTGAGGTTTCCAGGCTAAGGCGGCACTAGAACTCAAATCCCCCAGTTTTTAGCTTGGTGCCCTCACTAGTAGACCAGACTATGCTTTAATACTTGTGCATGAGCACAATTTAGAATATCCCCTGATTTTGGTTAAGCATTCTATAGCTCTCAAGTGAGATATGAGGTCAGCCAGGAAACAAGCTAAAGTGAGCGGAGATTTTGTTTTATTTACAATAAGGAGACATACGTATGAAAAAGGAGACTGCTTGCCCCACACATCCATGTTTTCTCCTCACGTTGTTAGCAAGCGTTTCAGAGTAAAATGAAATCAGCCTTCCCAGTCTGAAAAACTATTCCGGCTCTGAAGAATAAAAGCATCTAGCAGACAATTTGTCTTAATCTTTAACAAATGGAAAAATTAAATAAAGTTTATTTATTTTTTGTTTAAAAAAAGAGCCAAATACATAAGACAAAACAATTCAACCAGAAGATGGCAGCGAGTAGAGAGGACTGGACTTCGTGGATTTTATGTGTGATGAATCGGCAGCAGCTGTTTCGGCCAGCAGTGCCGCTGGTGTGCAGGCTGCTGCAGGAAAGAGCCGGTCTTGTGCTTATTCAGTCTCTTGGGAAGGAAGGAAGGAAGGAAGGAAGGAGAAAAGTTCCTGGAAGATTCATCCCGGAGGACCACTAGTAGTCCTGTGGGCACAAGGGCACAGTGAACATCACTGGGGACACCAGCACAAACCGGAGGGGCACCACTTCCCACCCAAAGGAGCTGAGGACTAGCACCACAGGGTGCCTGCAGTAGAGCAGGGCCAACCCTGGAAAACCCTGCTTCAAGCTCCCATCACACCCCCTCCAACAATGCTGCCCTTCGGCCATCCAAGGCAGAGGCTGCAAGAAGGACTCTCTCCTCCCCTTTAAGCAGGGGTAGGCAACCTTGGCTCTTTTATGACTGGTGGACTTCAACTCCCAGAATTCCTGAGCCAGCCACGCTGAGGGGAAAGGGAGAGGTTTCCAAGCTGAACCATGCTGGCTCAGGAATTCTGGGAGTTGAAGTCCACGAGTCATAAAAGAGCCAAGGTTGCCTAACCCTGCCTTTAAGCAAGCTTCACCTCAACCCTACCCAGAACTGTGCAGTAACTGAAAGATGGGCGGGGAAGGAAAAGAGGAGGGATACTTACAGCTCGTGGTTTTTTGTTCAACTTGAGATCAATCCTGCAATGGGAGGAAGGAAGAAGGGAGTATTGGCCTACTGGTGGCTAGAAAGGCAGTCCCTGTCTCGGCCACATCAGCAAAGGGACAAGCCTGAGATGGACAGCCCAGGGTAGCATTCCCACCCACCTCCCAATGGCACCGAAAAGCAGATTCCACCCGACAATCAGAAGAAATACATTAGAGAGTTAGGCAGCATCCAGAGACCCTGGGAACTCGTCATCTGCTGGGTTAGCATGTTAAAGATAGAACCTAGTGGAGGAGGAGGAGGGAGGAGGCAGCGGGGGGGGGGGAGGAGAGGAGGGAGAAGGAAACGTAGCCAGAGGATTTAGTGACACCAGTAAGAATCAAATTGTATTTTCTGCATTTGGGAAACTGCCTTATCTGCAGGCCTCAGAAAGCAAAGCAACAAAAATCAGTTTTCAGAATTCAGTAGGAGTTTATCTGCTTTTCAAAGTGACATAAAGAAGCAAAGAGGGTAGCCAAATTAATTTTGTTTAGCCAAGGTTATTAAATAAAAAGTTACCTCCGTTGTGCTTTTGTCTGTATTTTTAAAAACTTGCCAGCCTAACCTAATATACATACCTACAATTAAACAGATAAACTATGGATTAGAATGGTTTTGAAAGCGCACGTGGGGAAGTTGAAGGAGGGTGGCAAAGGGGAAGAGAGAAGGCTACCCGCGGACATCATAGCACAAACACTTAAGTCAAATCAAGTCAAACTTACTCAAAGTCATAATCAAACATGCCAGACGGGCTGAGGGGCAGCATTCGAAAAGAAGAAAGCAATAGAAATTAATACACTAAGGAATTAAATCAATTAGTTGATTAGCACCCTAGCGAAATTTAAAAATAAAAAAAGAGCAGGCAACACATCATTGTAATCTTGAAATATAAAATCCACCCAAGATCGCCCCCATTCCCCCAGAAGCCCCCTACCCCAAAATAACCCTATGACGCTGCAGGGACAAATATCAGCAACCTTGGAAAGAAAAGCAAGATGGGAACCTCCCATAATGCTTGAAAGAAGCAGCAAACAGCTACATGGGTAAAGGGTGGGCAAGACCCTGCATGCCAGCCTCCCCACAAGATTCTGGCTGGACTGCCTGGGCAGAATGGAAGAAAACGGAAATGGAAGGGACCCAGTGCCCGGCCTTGAGAAGGCAGAACACCAGCCTGGATTAGGGGAAATGCTGGGCCGGGGGCAACAGCCAAGAGAGGGCCTGCTTCCACTTTCAGGTGTAGCTCTGGGCATGGAGAAGACTCTGCCCAAGTCCAGCCCAACCCACATCTCCACGGCTTTCTCCCGGCTTATGAATGGGAAGACCTGGCATCTTTCAGAACAGAATTTCCGGTGTTGAGCTTTTTTGTCTATTAGTACTTCCCTGCCTTGAAGAAGGCCAGCATCCAGTTATTGGAAGATTTCCAATTCTCAATAAGGAAAACCTCACTACACGGAAAGGGTTGTCATCAGACGTTTGCAACTTAAACAAAATACATATAATAACAACAGTCCCATTTCTCCTCTTTGCACCGCCACTTTCATCCCCTCCTCCACTGTCCCTTTCAAGACTGTGTGACGGCTGGGGCAGAGCCGCTTCCCTGCGTTAGGCACAGAGTAGACCGCATGCGGAGATAGTTCTTGATTTTAGCAGGAAAATGTCATTTCTGGATTAACCTGGCAACATAACTGGTTACGTCTTTAAGAGAAGAAGGGAGGTCTCTTTTGGGGACAGAGTCGCTAGAAAACTGCTGCTGATTTATGGATCTCCCTTGGGGTAGGAGATCCCTCTGAGGCTTTTCCATCTGAACCCCAAGAGAGTTCCTCAGCCGGGGATCAGGCGCCAGATTCAAAGCCCCGCCTGGCCATTGAGCTCATGGGGTGAACCCTGACCCTAACGTACCTGGCTGTGGGGTGACACAGTGAGGAATATTGAACTATGACCGTTCAAGAGAAAATGTTGGGAACACGCTTCCTTCTCCAGAGGCTCAGGGGGGTCCAGCTGGAGACCTGGACCAAGACCTGGAGAAAGAAGCTCCTCGGGGTCTCTAGCCCGCCCACCTCACCTGTGCCGGTTTTTATTCTTCCGCTTTTTGTGGCTACTGTGGTGGCCCCCCGAGGCAGAAGAGGCCGCTTTCTGGGGTTTCACCCCCTGAATGGACCCATCCAGCTCTTCCACCTCTTCCTGACTCGGCTCGTTTTCTTGGTTGTGAAAATCCGGGGAAGTGTCGCTCTCGGTGCCGCTGCCGGGCTCGCCTGGAGGGGGGAGAAAGGCGGGAGCCCCGAGCTCGGTGACCCAGAGCCCGGCTGGGGTCTCGGGCCAAAGGGAGGGGGAGCCGAGGGGACCCCCAAACTTACGCTTCTCAATCAGCTGGTCCTGAACTCCAGCCAAGGCACTGACCGCCTGGGGGGCAGAGGAGAGGCAGGGGGTCAGCGGGAGCAGCGCGCCCCTCGCCGCATCCCCCCCGCCCCGCAGGGAGACCCCCACTTACGGCCGCCGAGGTGACCGAGGACTTGCTGAAGAGCCGCTCCGCTTCCTTGAACTTCCGGTTCCGACGGTCGTTCTTGCTGTTGGAGTTTCTGGGGGGGGGGGAAGAGGGGAGGGCAGAGAGAAAGGCGGGCAGCGGCGGGGCGGGCGAGGGGTGGGTGGGCGAGGGGGCGCCCCCTCCCTCCCTCCCTCCCCTCCAGAGACCCCCCCCGCTCACTTCTGGTTGGTCAGGTAGCGGTCCCAGCCGCGGATGATGTTCCCGTACATCTGCGTGTCCTCCAGGTAGCTGCCCTCGAAGGCGTAGATCTGCCGCTCCAGGTTGGCCAGCGTCTCCTGCGCGCGCGAGGGGGAAGGAAGGAAGGGCGGGCCGGGCTAGCGGGGGAGGGCGGGGTGGTGGTGGGGGTCGTCCTCCGCCGCCGCTGCCCCCCCCTTCGGACCCCGCTGCCTCCCTCCCGCCCCAGCGCCCCCCCCTTCCCCAGCGCCCCCCCCCCGCGCGGGGCTCACCGCCAGCTCCTGCTTGCGCTTGACCAGCTCGGCCAGCTCGCGGCGGGTGTCCGGGATCTGCGGCGGGGCGCCGGCCTTGGCGCTCGCCCCGTGCAACGCCGCCATAGCCCGCCCGCGCCCAGCAGGCCCACCGCGACCAGGCCGGCGGAGGAGGAGGAGGCGGCGAGCGGAGAGGCGGGCGGGCGGGCAGGCCGGCAGGGGCGGAGCGTGGCGCGGCGGGAGGAGGAGGAGCCGCGTCCTGGAGCGCCCTCGCCCGGAGGCCGCCGCCGCGCCCCTCCCGCGTCCGGGCAGAGGAGGCCCCGGTTCGGGGAAGCCGCCTCAGCCGCGCGGGGAAGCGAGGAAGGCAGGCCGCGATTGCTGCCCGGGGCGGCCCAAGCGCGGGCGGGCGGGCGGGGGGCGAGCTCGGCTCCTCCCCTTCCAGGGAGAGCCGGAGAGGCCCCGCCGCCCCCACCCAGACAGGCCCGGTGGCCCCCCGTGGGGGTGGGGGGGAGTGGGGGGTAGGGTTGCCAGGTCTGCTTCCAAAAAATAGCGGACAAGCGGGGGGGGGGTGTTAAGTAGTAAAAAAAGTAGACTGTACAGCAGGGGTAGTCAACCTTGGCTCTTTTATGACTCGTGGACTTCAACTCCCAGAATTCCTGAGCCAGCTGTGCTGGCTCAGGAATTCTGGGAGTTGAAGTCCACGAGTCATAAAAGCCAAGGTTGACTACCCCTGCTGTACAGCTTTAGATTACGTACCATTTCATCCTAAAGCTTTTGAATAAAAAAAATGTCCACTATTTTGTGAAAAAAAATAGTGAACATAATGTGAAAAGTGAACTGTCCACTCAAATAGTGGACACCTGGCAACCCTAGCCGGGGGGGGGGGTGTAGGTCAACGCAGCGGAAAGGGGGCGACGGACGAAGAACACACACGGGACTCCGTATTCTCTTAACCAAAAAGCATCTATTTTTAAACAAACTGCACCAGCAATAAAAAAAAAAAGGGAAAACGAACAGGTTTTGTTAACTGTAAATGGCGGCCCCGCGTGTTCAGGAGGACCGGCTGCTCAAAAGAGGTTTTATCACGAAACATGCGCTGGGAAAAGTTCCCTGATGCCACCGAATCCTACAACGGCATCCAACGTTTAAGAAAAGATTGCCCCAAAGCAAAAATGGGGCTTCCTGGCCCATCACCCCGTCTAGCAATCTCCCCCTGAGGAGTCTCCAGGTGTTAAGGCAGCCGGGGCACCCAGAGCCTCCGGGCTCCAAGGTCCACCAGACGGATCCGACTGGATCCAGAGTGACCCGCTGTCGGCCGGTCCTCAGGTGGATTCTTCCTCCTCTTCCTCCTCCTCCTCCGTCTTCTGACTGTCCTCGGTGGCATCGGAGGATTCATGGAGGAGGACGTATTCCCTGCTGCTGAAGCCAAATTTCAGCACGTCCTTCTCTCTCAGTTCGTAATAGCGTTGAGGCTCGATGCGCTGGTTATTCAGAAAGGTGCCGTTGCCGGAGCCGAGGTCAATGATGTATGGTTTCACCTTCCGACCCGCTGTGCCATCGGGACGGGTATACTCCACCAGCCTTGCAAAAAAAGAAAGAAAAGAAACCCACGCCAGTTAATGCCCAATGATCCAGGAATACAATGTCGGATTCCTTCAGCCTCTCACGTAGCTCTAGAGAGAGAAAGAGAGATCAAAAACACCAGATCCCTTTTCATTCCATAGCTGGAGGCCTTTGTGCCCAGATGGGGAAAAGGCAGTTTATGTCAGTGGATTGAGTGGCTGCACAACTCCCAGCGGCTTACAGTGAAATGAAAGAAAAAAGGCATATGTGCCAGGAACAAACTACAAAAGATATCCAAGACACTAGAGGCTCCTTTAAGCCCAGGTCGTGAGCAGAGCCGCCAGGCTTTCCGAGATTTGTGGAACACGGGGCAAAACCAAACTGTTCAAGATGACATTCCTCAAACGGCAGCTCTTGGGTCTCCCAGCCTGGAGATGGTTTATTATCCTTGTGTAGAAAAATCTCTGGAACTCCTCTAACACTAATCCTTGATGGGCCCTGCCTTCCTCTCCTCTTATAAAGTGGTTTTCTCTTTTCTTAAAGGCTACCCTCTTTTTCCACAAGTAGTCCTTGAGGTTGCAGTCCTAAGGAAGCCATGTGACTAGACTTGCTTTTCTGACATGTTAAGTGAATCACCAGGGTTGCTAAGCAAACCCGATTTTCCACAAATTGTGGTCATGTGACCGTGGGAACCATGACTGGTCGTAAATGGGAGCTGTCTGTCAAGCATCCATTCCAAGGCCACGGTAACTCCAAATGGTCAGGAAATGACTGTTGGTAAGTCAAGGACTATCTGTATTTATCACCGATTCTTCAGCTGCTTTTTAGGCAAGTAGTTTATTCAAGTCTCTCCTAAGCACCATCCTCTCCAGTCAATTCAATTCTCCTCTTCCCTATCTACTAAAAAAAATCCCATTCCATTTCTCGATTACCATGAAGCATTTATTTGTACCCGCCTTTATTTTTACAAATAACTCAAGGTGGAGAACATATCCCAACACACCTTTCTCCTATTTTCCCTACAACTCTGTGAGATGGATTGGGCTGAAAGAGAATGACTGGTCCGAAGTCAGGCAGTGTTAAAGTAATTTTACAGGTAGTCCTCAGTTTATGTCCATTTGTTGAAGGACCATTCAAAATTTCAGTAGCACTGAAAAAATGGACATATAACTGGTCCTCAAAAGTTCTGGCCATCGTGTTCTGTCATACTTTACTTAGTGATGGCAATCCCAGCCCCAATTGCCATCACAGCCTGTTTATTCCTTTCTCCTTTGTACTTTACATTCATTCTGTTACATTATATCATGTCTTCTTTATAAATGAGGGGTCCTTGGTGCTCTCTGAGCTTGTTTTCTTGCAGACCTTTCATTACCCAACTAGGTAACATCATAGTGCTGGTAAGGAGGGCTGTTTGCTGTCAGTTTATATTCTGGTGTCTGTCCTGTCTGGGAGGGGGTGGTCTGAGGGATTCTTTGGTTGGGCTGTTTACTAATGTCTCTGTGGCAGTTTCTTGGTTGGGTTATTGCTTACTTGACTGTTGGTCTGAAGGTGACCTTAGAGCTAATCTAGTGCTGATTGCTGGTGGAGAAGTGCTGGAGTCTTTTTCTCTTTTGGACTGGTTGATATTCTCTTTTGCATACTCTATAGATGTTGTTAATGTCTATGTGTCTATTGATGGCCGATTTGTCAGAGTGCCAGGCTCCTAGAAATTCCCTGGCATTTTTGGATTTGGCCTGGTCTAGGATAGTCACATTTTCCCCATTGAAACTATGGTTAAATCTGTCTATATGTTGTGAAATTAAAGAATTTTCATTATGCCTTCTGACTGCCAGTTGGTGTTCGTGGATGCGTTCTGCCAGTCGTCTGCCTGTTTGTCCTACATAGTGGTTGTTGCAGTCCTTACATTGTATGTTGTAGATGACTCCTGTTTTTTTCTTCTGGGTTTTCGGATTGCTGGATTTTGGGTTTACTTAGGATGTTTTGAAGGGCTTTAGTTGGCTTATGTGCTACGCTGATTCCATGTGGTTGTAGTAGTCTATTTGTAGTTTCTTTATAAAGGCATAAAGAGGCTGCCTTTTTCATGCCCTGTATTTTACGACTGTACTATATTCTGCCTGAACTTTACGCAAGCTTCCTCTAGCTGCAGAGCCTTCTTCTGAAACCAAATACCATTTTTGCATTTTTTTTATACAAAAAACGTTGAACCATCTATGCAATAACTGGAAACAGGTTTTGATAGGAGCAGACTCAAATAACTGTGGATTCCGTTTACCAAATAAGCTATGTGAGCTAGTAACATTAACATTTGATCAGGATGATATGTGTCTTCTTTCCTCTTCTTTCTTTCCTCCATAACCACCCAAGTTCTCCTGTTCTGGAACTCCATTTTTTTTTCTTGCTCCCTGTACTCTATTCTTCAAGACTAATTTTTCTAGGTGCCCATGGCATCCCTTCTCCAAATATTCCAGATTGGCCTTCCCTAATTTAGTGTCAACTATTCACATCAACTCTGGAATCTGTGGTCTTCAAAACAGCTGAAAGACACAAAACTGATGTAGACTGTAAATAAACCAACTGACTTGCAACTTCTTCTCTTGCTTACTCCTCTGCCATCCTTCCCTTTGTTTTGCACCAATACGAATTTGTCAAGAATGTGCACAAGCAATGCCAATCCCTTTCCTGTACATCTAGATAAATTAATAAAGTTTATTCTGACTTCTCTAATTTTCATTCTTGTTCTGTTCACTCTCCTACTAAGTGAGTTTGTATGATGTCCTTAGTAACAGCAGCATGGACATAGCTGTCAATATAGAAAAATTAAACTTTCTCCAGGCACAGGCACAGAGCTCTGTTAGAACCTGCCTACATACTCTGTTCTCTGGCTACTTTACTTTGGCTATCATGGCAGCAGTAACTGCCACCTCTGTCCAGGGGCTTGAGCCCATTGTTGCCCATTACACCTGCCAGACCATCTTCTCTTCTCCTTACACCTGCCTTCTCTTCTACAGACCAAGCAGCAGTTAAGAAGCCTGGACTACCAAAGCAGCCACTGAGAATGCAGAATAACAGGAAAAACATGTTTAGCTTCTGTCCATCTTGGTTGGAAAGGTGATGGCAGTGTAAATGGCATTAAGACCCCTTAATTCATTCATCAGTGGGAGGGAAGAAGGAAGTATAGCAGGCTGGGTGGGAAAACACAAAGGGGCAGCAAGCAGCAGGCTCCAGAGGTCAGAGTCAGTGTGGGAAAGAGACTGTTGCTGCTGCTGCTATTGTTGCTACCACAACAACCTAAATAGGGAGAGAGTAGAATGGGCAGCCAGCTTGTCCAGAGAAAGTCTGCCTGTACAAGCTAAATTTTTGTAGCTCTTGTCAAATTCACTCAAAACCTCCCAGGGAGCTGTGGCCCACAGCTTGAGAAATCTTGCCGTAAACAGCTAATCCCACTCTCCACTTCACTCATCCCCCTGGATCAAGAACTTACCGGTACTGAAAAACAGCATGTTGTTTAGAGCATGAGGGATGGTCAATAGGGATATCAGCAATGCGCCGGTGCCTTCCCAACAGATAAGCACTCTGCCGGTGAATGTACATAACAGGAAGAACCTCGTCGTTCTTGAAGGGATATAAACGCCATCGCTTTTTGGGAATGCGTGCTTCTGGGGGCTCGCTATATTTGATCACAACACCACGAAAAGTATTGGAATCTTCCAAAAGAGCACCAGATAGTTCAAAGCTTGGTTTTTCCTTTTTGCTAGCCTCCTTGTCCGTGTTCTTGTTGCTGGGCCCTCTTCCCTCACTATTTTCTTCGTCTCCACTTGCTTCCATTTGTTGACGATGTTGCCGCCGCCTGTCATTATAGAATTCCCTATCCGCCTGCTGATCCAGGAGATGGCGGCCATCCTGTTCCCTTCCACGGCTCTCGGCCTGTTCCTTAGTGAACTTCCTTCGACCTGAATGATCCCGGTACCTCTCTCTATTGCTTTTTCGTTGCCTGTGTTCAAGCTCTGAGCGCTCTTGGTTCTGCCGCTCTTCATGTCCCCTCCGAGAATGATCCTCCGGCTCCTATAACAGTGGAGGAATAGATAGATACCTACAAGTGGAACTCGGGAACAAAGATAAAAAAACTGTTTTTGGATTCCCAGCTATATTTGATAAGAGTTCACTATTATTCAAATTAGAAGGAGCTGATTAAAATAGGTGGCCGCAAAGCATCGCTAACATTTGAATCACTGAACGACCAAATGTAACCGAATGGTATACCTAACGGCTAAGGCAGTTTTTCTCAACCTTAACAATTTTAAGGCATGTGGACTTCAACTCCCAGAATTCCACAGCCAGCATTGCTGGCTGTGGAATTCTGGGAGTTGAAGTCCACATGCCTCAAAAATTGTCAAGGTTGAGAAACACTGGGCTAAGGGCAGCTGGACAACGGAACCAACCTTCCGGTGGAACCGAGGGCCGCCCAGCGCCAGAACTAGAACCCTGGCACCGAGAGGCTGGGCTGGCGGCTGCGAGGCCCCGACCCGAGATCAGCCGCCTCGCCTACGGCCGGGGCCTCACTGCAGGCAGACCAAGAGCCTCCGGCCTGCCGGCCACGCGGATAGCGGACTCTCCCCCCGCCCACCCCGGGCACCCCGCACCGGCTCCTCCAGCCGCGTACCTGCTTTATCCTGACGCCCGCGTGTCGCGGACTCCGGCTCCGCTTCTCCCGGGCCGGCGGCGACCTGCTCTTTTTGCCCGAGGACCGGCGCCTCTTCCTCGACTGCGACCTTCCAACGACACAAACCCCGTCAGGCACCAAGCCCGGGCCCGCCACCGTCTCCCGCCCGCCCGGGCCGCCCCCGCCCTCGGCGCTCACCTGTCGGCTTCCCGGGGGCTTCCCCGCGGGCTGCGCTTCCGGTGCCTCCGCCGCCGCCGCTCCGACTCCTCCATGGCGCCTCACCGGCTCCCAGTTCCTGGTTTCCACCCTTAGGCCGCCGCCGCCTCCGCACGGCCCGGAAGCGCTCGACCAAGCGCTTCCGCCCTCGCTGGCGTGCCTCGTGACTTGTCAGCGCGACGCGGCCCGTGATTGGCTGAGGCCGGCGAGGACGGTTTCTTGCGTCAAGGCCTTTGTGCGCCTGCGCCTGCTCCCGCCCGCCCCGCCCCCGGCGTCCCCGTGGCCGTGGCAACGGCGGCGCAACTGGCTCGGCGCCGGTCGGGCCTGGAGCAGCCGCCATGATCCCCCCCGCGGACTCCCTCCTGCGCTACGAGACGCCGGTGCTGGTCAGCCGCAACACCGAGAAGCGCTCGCCCAAGGTAGGCGGGGAGAGGGGGGGACGAGGGACCGGGGGCGGAGGGGAGGCGGCCGCCCCCGGGGATTGATCGCTCCGCCGCTCCGCAGGCGCGGCCGCTGAAGGGGACCCCGCAGTTGTCGGTGCCGGCGGGGCCCGTCTCGCCGCCCAAGGGCAAGGCGCCGTCGCCCTCGGTGGACCCCAGCAAGCAGGCCGAGGAGATCCTCAACGCCATCCTGCCGCCGCGGTGAGCCACGCGGGGGAGTGGGGGGGATTGGGGGNGGGGGGCTCACGGGGGGGAGCGGGGCGCCCGAGCAGCGTCTCACCTGCACCTCCCTCTGCAGAGAATGGACGGAGGAGAACCAGCTCTGGGTGCAGCAGGTCTCCAGCACGCCCAGCACGCGCATGGACGTGGTGCACCTGCAGGAGCAGCTGGACCTCAAGCTGCAGCAGCGCCAGGCACGCGAGACCGGCATCTGCCCCGTGCGGCGCGAGCTCTACTCCCAGTGCTTCGGTGAGCGACCACGGAGGGGGGGAGAGGGGAGCCAGGGGAGGGAGGAGGGGGCCGCTGGCGTCGCCTGACTTCCACACACACCCCCGGCCCCCGCAGACGAGCTGATCCGGCAAGTGACCATCAACTGCGCTGAGCGTGGGCTGCTGCTGCTGCGCGTACGGGATGAGATCCGGATGACCATCGCGGCCTACCAGACGCTGTACGAGAGCAGCGTGGCCTTCGGCATGAGGAAGGCCCTGCAGGCCGAGCAGGGCAAATCCGACATGGAAAAGAAGGTAAGGTCAGCCGGAGCTACTCGGCCTCCCGGCAGGTGCCCATCCAGCCCAGGCAGAGTCCAGGCTTAGGCTGCCCCAGCAGAGCAGAGCAAGTGGCAGCCTTGCTTCAAGGCCCCCCATCCGGTATCTTCTCCGTCTCCAGATTGCGGAACTCGAGGATGAGAAGCGGGACTTGGAGAGGCAGGTGAACGAGCAGAAGGCCAAGTGTGAAGCCGTTGAAAAGCGGGAACTGGAAAGGCGACAGGTGGAAGAGAAGAAGCACACCGAGGAGGTCCAGTTCCTGAAACGGACTAATCAGCAGCTCAAGGTTAGGGAAGACACAAACTGAGCCTTCTGGTTTTAATGGGCTGCTGTGCTTAGTGGGAGGAAGGAATCCTGATTGGAGTCACCTTACTCCACCTTCCCGGCACAATACAGGTACTCCTTGACCCGCGACCGCAATTCAGCCCAGAATTGGTTGTTAAGCAGGTCACTGCCTGATCAGACTTGATTTAAATGAATTCGTTTTATTCAGTGTTTTTTGCCATGTAGGACAGAGTTCCCCAACCTTCCCAGCTTGGCAACCCAGAAGGAAAGGGAGCAGTAGGGAAATGTGGAGCATGTGGGGCTCCAGGCACACGCACGACAGCAGCATTAGCATGCATGTGCATGCACAAGTGGGCCATGCACACCCATGGAGCGCGTGCTGGCGCCCACATGCGCAAATGGGGCCGCTAATGCCCACACGGCGCTAGTGAGTGGGGTGGGGCTTGCCAGCTATTCCTGGTGACGGTAGGTTGGGGACCATTGTAGGATGTTGCCAAGTGCCCGAAATTTGATCATGTGACAGGGTGCTGCTGCCATCATAACTTTCAAATCAAGTCATAGATTTTGGCGAGTGCATTGTAACTTCAACCATATGCAACTGGTTGTAAGTTGAGGACTGCCTGGATATGTTTTGTGTCTTAGGATGAATTGGACCTGGCCAATTTACACTCCTTGTGGTGTTGAAGTCTCTGAAAAAAAGCCCACTCAGGATTTTGTTTTTCAAACTTAACAAATATGCTTTCCTTTCTCAGCCAACCCTATCCTGTCGCAGAATGGCCCACGGCTAAAATATTTGACGCAATGTATCTCCTTCATGCCCAGCAGTACCATTGTCTCCCAACAGTTTTGTATCTTTTGGCACAATGCATAAGTCCTGACTGGTTAACTACTTTATTTTAGGCACAGCTGGAAGGCATCATTGCACCGAAGAAGTAAGCTTTCTGTCAGCCCAGTGCAAAAAGTGCCTTGAGGGGGAAAGGAGAACTCGGCTGTAGAGAATTCTTCCTGAAAGAATCCAGAATCTACCTGCATCTAAATTGTTCCACCTCGTCTGAATCAACATACATTCAAATACTGTTCTTGCACATTTAAAAAGAATCTCAACTGGCTTGGGATTTGCTTTTTCAATTCATATTTACTGGAGGTAAATAATAGAGGCGCTTTTTTTAAATTTAAAAAAAAAATTGCCAGTAGTATTTTAGTTCTGTGCAGGACTCTGCCCAATTGCAAAACAAGGGCTGTACAAAATGCATTAAAATTCATCCTGACTCCTGAAACCTGATGTAGTGGTTTAACTGGCGATCATCACGCCTCCTGATCAACTTCTCCTTTACCAGCCATATATGCCAAAAGTAGTAAGAACATTTGCCCTTTCTGCTACTTTGATTTTTACTTTTCACACTGATGGGCAAAGTCTTTTGTAAGGATCCCAACTGGTAACCAACAGTCTCATGTGGTGAATGTTTACTATGTGGATTTATAAAGATAACAATTTCAAAATGTATCTTTATTGATTTATCTTAGGTTGTAAGTCTCTGGCCTCCAGTGTCAACTTTCCTCTTGTTCCTGTTTCTATTTTTGATGTTATGAGTATCATAATATCGAACACCGACTTTCTTTGTGTGCTGCTGCCGCTCTGCTCTTCTCTTCTGCAAAGGCAAAACAAAAGTTTTGGAACAATCCAAGACAATGGACAATGTAATAACTGTAACTTACTATCCCAAAAGAAAATGTTTTTCCCACACATAAGCCCTACTACAATTCTCTTTTTAAAATCCACACTACATGACAACTATGCCACATAAAATGAACACACTTCCCTTGGGCTGCACCTTATGAAAACCGCAGAGAACAACCGATTTACATCCTGCTTTTAGTTTCTGTAGAACTCAAGGTAACCCACGTAATGCTCCTGCCTCCTGTTTTCCCCAGAACAATTCCATAAGATGGTTTGAGCTAAGGAAAAGTGACTGTCCCAAACCCACTCAGCCAGTTTTCACGGCTGACATTTACCTCCTTTGAATTCAGTTTCTTGCAGGCGCTGGAACTCTGCTGTTCCTCTCCCTCTGATATCTTCCTTTTCTTTTTCTCTCTCTGTTTTCCTAAAAGTAGCATGTCAAGAATAGATAGAGACAAATAGAGATAAAGCTCTTCCTGAAGAACGAAACACTGAGCAACATAGAGTTTTCCAGTAAAGGACAAAACTGTTTCAGAATGGGATAGCTGTGCTCCCCTTCCACATAAAATGACAGCTTCCTGGCCCCCCCTTTCTCTGATGGATGACCTTAAATATGTTCAAGAAGCAAAGTAGGTCACTCAAAACTGCATGAGAAAAAGTATTCTCCAGGCTAGGTGTGGTCCTATCTACTGCAGCTTTCTAGGCTACACAGATGCATTTGGGAAGCTCTCCAAAGTGAACAAGAGGGCAACTACACTTTTTCATAGTCATTCTTTAACAACCAGTACTCGGTGCTGGTCAAAATCCATGCAGATTAGTAACAGTTGAGCATTTTGAAAAGAAATTTGTGGAGAACTCTACTATCTGCACTGCAACACAGAATTCTGTGGCATAAGTGCGTCAAGTGGAATGAAGCCAGCACTGGCCCTTTATAAGAACAAAGTTATAAAATGTGCACAGGATGCAGATATTGCTGAAGGAGCCACCATACCTCTAGTCTTCTGAGTTTCAACAGCCACTGAATCCAACTCTGATTTTGCAAATATTTTTTCATTCAGCCCCTTGGGGATTCTAGGTAGGAGAACAAGCAAATAGTTAAGACTCTACCTAAATCTGATTCCCCCATTCCACTAGCACAGGGGTCCTCAACCTTGGCTACTTTAAGACTTGTGGACTTCAACTCCCAGAATTCCTCAGCCAGCTTTCTGGAAGTTGAAGTCCACAAGTCTTGTGACCAAGGTTGAGGACCCCTGCTCTAGCAGTTGTACAGCCTTAAGTTTAATAGGACAGCCTAATTCTCTTATCATCATCATAAGTTGAAAAAATACAATGTAGAATATATGCTTTAGAAATAAGCAGCTGGGGACACAGCCAAGAAAACCAACAGATGGATCACTGAAGAAATAAACCCAGTATTCTCAATGTACAAATGACAAGTCTCAAATTATCTCATTTCGGGCACATGGAAAGACCTGACTCTGGAGAAGGCTGTATAGGCAGTCCTTGCTTAACGACTGCTAACAGTTTAGCAACAGTTCAGTTACAACAGCAATGAAAAAGTACCGTAACTTTACAATAAGTCATTGCACTTAGGACTGTTGCAGCATCTCTGTGGTTACGTGACTGAAATGTGGGTGCTTCACAACCAACAGATATTTATGACTGTTGCAGCATCCGGCAGTCAGGTGCTCACCATCTGCATGATTTACAGCCAGCTTCAAAAAAAAAAAAAAGCCAACGGAGAAACTGGCAGTAAAATTGCAAGTCACAGACCTGTGATGTCTCACTTAACGACTGCAGTGGGAGTGACGTGGTCCCTGCACAGACCAAAACAGCCCCTTTTGTTTCATGCAAGGGGGCAGAGAACTCAAATGTGCATCTTTCAACCCCCTGAAGACCACTCATCCGTGCACAGAAACAGATGGTGCCTGGAATTTAATTATGAACTGGGTGCTGCAACCGATGCTGGAAAGAAAGGGTTGAGGATTGGTCAGTCTTGAGTTACAGTGATGAGTGGGTGTCTTAGGCCCTTCTTTCTGCCCAATCAGATGAACCAAGACAGTCAGATGCCTTACCTTATTGCTGAAAATCTCCTGGCCTTTGCCTTATCCAGGAATCTCTTGTACTTGGCAATCTTCTCGTCCAGGGACCTAAGTACTACCTTTGGATCTTCTCTGGGGCTAGCCTCACAAGTTGGCCTCCCATGTGGTGAACTCTGCTCTTTCTCTTCTTCCTCTTCCTCCGAACCACTGTCTGTTTCACCGACACCCAGTATATTCACAGGAACTAGATCCTCTTCCAAGAATTGAGAGGTCACTGTGATCTTCTCGTAGTTTTGTGGCACTGGAGGCAAAGGCCATTTTGGGGCCACGCTGGAGCACTCATCACTCCCAGCCTGTCCTTCATGTTCTTCTCTCATCCCCGAGTTCTCACTGTGACTCAGGCCTGTCGTCACATCTGAGGCAGCATCTGCGGGCTGAGAAATTAAGCAATGGAAGTCTCTCTGCAAGCCAGGTTACTCGTCCATCCCCGCCCTTCACTTTGCCATTGGCTTGTTCAACTCCAAATGATTTGGGCACCATTTCCCACTTGGGAAGGCCTTCAGTAAGGCTCACAGGATCCTGACCTGACCTGTGCCAGTCAGAACCCAGATTCGTGAGAAAGGATAGTCAAGTACACCAATCCCTTTATGAGCAACCATCAAATCCTCCCATCTTCCTGAAAAGAAGATAGGGATGGCTCAGTTGCCCTTTTTTTCTGACAACAGAATATATATAGAGAAGGAAGACAATTACAGATAGTCCTTGACTTATGGCAGCTGAGCCCAAACTTTCAATTACTAAGCAAGACAGTTAAATTCAGTTTTGTCCCATTTTATGACCTTTCTTGGCAACGTTAAGTGAATCACTGCAGTTGTTAAGTTAGTAACACCATTGTTAAGTGAATCTGGCTTTGCTTCTCGGAAGATCACAAGTAGGGACACTGCAACTGTCATAAATATGAGTCAGTTGCCGAACGTCCGAATTTTGATCACATGGCCAGACTGCAACAGCCATGTGACAGTCAGTCATGAATCTCTTTTTTCAGTGCTGTTGTACCTTTGAATGGTCACTAATGAATGACTGTAAGTCAAGGACTACTTATACACTGAAATTGGTTGTTCTGAATTACTCCCACAAGTAGTTTATAATTACAACAATGGTACAAAACCCTTTTAAGTGTGGGTGATTTTTATCCAAGTAAGGTGGGCCCTCCTTGCCTTGTGTGAAAAAGTTGGAGGAGACTTAAAGGCACAGAAAAGGCTCATCTCGTTGTCTGCCCTCTTACGGCCAGACCAGGAGTAAGCAACCTTGGCTCTTTTATGACTCGTGGACTTCATCTCCCAGAATTCCTGAGCCAGCCATGCTGAGGGGAAAGGGAGAGGTTTCCAAGCTGAGCCAGGCTGGCTCAGGAATTCTGGGAGTTGAAGTCCACGAGTCCTAAAAGAACCAAGGTTGCCTACCCCTGGGCCAGACAGACACAGTGAATGTTCATGGGGACCCAGGAAGATGCCCCCTTACAAGGGGAGGAACACTTCTATTATTTCAAGTTCTTGCCTTCAAAACCAGCCCGTTCTCAGTCCTGCTGAAATACTGTTTGATTGCTAACTCCTGCTCTTGTATTTGCTCCTGAGAGGAGCCATTCCTCCTTCCTCTCTTTGAAAAGGAACACACAAGCTATTCTGGCAGCCCTTACCGGAGAGTCCTGTTCCACGTTGGGAGGCTTCACGAAGAACGGGATGCGGCCTCTCTGCCAGTCATTCAGCACCATCCGACTGGCCGTGTGCAGGTCAGGCTCTCCGCCCTGCAAAGGCAGAAGGGCCAGCAGTCACAACTGAAGAAGGGGAGAGAGGAGATCCAAGAGAACAGCCTGATGGTGAAGGGGCCTGGGGCCGTGACACCGGGCAGGATGCGTGCAGAGGGAGGGGGGAATTATGGGCTGGATTCATACCCTACCTCCTCAAACTACCCCACTGTGTACTCTGATGGCCCGGTTCATCCAATATGCAAAGGCAAAGGCAAGCTCCCCAAATTACCACGAAGCCCATTTCAGCCTCCTAGGGCAGGGGTAGGCAACCTTGGCTCTTTTATGACTCGTGGACTTCAACTCCCAGAATTCCTGAGCCAGCATGGCTCAGCTTGGAAACCTCTGCCTTTCCCCTCAGCATGGCTGGCTCAGGAATTCTGGGAGTTGAAGTCCACCAGTCATAAAAGAGCCAAGGTTGCCTACCCCTGCCCTAGAGCAAGCCATGAGCAACCAAGTCATCATCCCCCTTGTAGCATAATCAACTTTTCTCTCTTATCCCCTCTGGCTGTTCCCAGAAGGGTCCTCCGGAGCAGGTCCTCCTTCAGGAAACGTCTCGCTTGCTGAGCAAACGTCCGCACGAAGGGCTCCAAATTCCTTTCTCTTGAATCAAACAGCTATTCAGCACTCATAAGACCAGATTCACCTTCAGCAACTTCCCAGTCTGGAATGCTAGCTTCTTCAGGAAATCCTCCGCGTTTTCCCAGGACTCTATTTTATATGTCTTCCTGATGTATTCCGGCTTGGCTCTGTCCAGCACGGTAGCAATGTGGTCTTCCGGACACTTGATTTTTTCTACCTGAACCTGGAAATTACAGAAAAAACTCCTAGCTTTTACCAAAGGCACAGATTTCCACACATACATCTCCAACGGCTACGAAGAAAATACAGTTGGAAGGGACCTTGGAGGCCTTCTAGTCCAACCCCCTGCTCAAGCAGGAGATCCTATACCATTCTGGACAAATCATTGTCCAATCTCTTCC